AATATGCTACATACCACATAAAGACAAGACACTGAGCCCATAACTGACGACAAGAGTTGCTTTTTTGCTAACTAGAGGGCCCTATGCTACAACTGAGGTTTCGAAGGTAATATCAGTCCAAAACAACCTGACAACATAAATAGATGTCTGGGTCACCCAAGAACCCAAAACACAGAGGTGAGCAAAATGACATAAAGGGACATCCCTAATGCAGGACGTAGTAAAGCTGGTCGAAAGACAAGATACAGAACTCAGAGCTCGCTCAGCATGAATGCATGAACACAAAACGTAAATTGAGCCCCCAGCCGATCCCAGGTGAGACAGAAGGATGGCAAGTTTGAAACCAGCAGGAGGAGCTGGGCAGTGGTGGTGCACTTTTGTTTTGGGGTTTTTTGTTTGTTTGTTTTGATTTTTCAAGACAGGGTTTCTCTGTAGTTTTGGAGCTTGTTCTGAAACTCACTGTGTAGCCCTGGCTGTCCTGAGCTCTTGTAGACCAGCTCACCTCAAACTCACAGAGGTCTGCTTGCCTCTGCCTCCCGAGTGCTGGGATTAAATGCATGCGCCATCACTGCCAAGCTTGCGCCACTGCCCAGCTGGTGCACATCTTTAATCCAAGCACTCAGGAGACAGAGGCAGCTGGAGCTTTATGAGTTCTAGGCCAGCCAGGTCTAGAGAGTGAGTTCCAGGACAGCCAGGACTGTTACACAGAGAAACCCTGTCTTGGAAAACAAGCAAACAAACAAACAGATAAAAACAAAAACTAGCCTGAGGAAATCCTGTTCTAAACACACACACACACACACACACACACACACACACACACACCAGGGCCACCAAGATGACTCAGTGGGCAAAGGCATTTGTTACCAAGACTGAGAACGTGAGTTTGATTCTCTGGGACCCATATGGTGTAAGGAGAGAACCTACTCCTGCAAGTTGTCATTTGACCTCCACCCACACACTGTGCATCTGTGCACACATACAAAAACACCACAAAAGTGTAGGAAATAACAGAGATACAAAGAGATTCCCTAATGGGGGTGGAGGGTGTTCAGGATACAAGAACATTTTGAGGCTGAAGACTCTAGAAAAGCAGAGAGTCGAAAACAGACTTACAATCCAATGCAGCAGGTGGAGATGGAAGCCTATGCTCCACCAGGGACAAGTCTGACACCAGAGCTAGGGTCACAGTAAGGGGAAGAAAGAAGTTGGGGATTGAGGGGACAGGGCTCTAGAACCTGAGACTTGAAAAGACAAGAAGGAGACTGCTCTGGGACCTTCCAGGTTTAAAATTGGGCAAGCTCCAGGGGCTGAAGAGGTGGTGCAGCAGTTAAGAGCACTGGCTGCTCTTCCATTCCCAGCACCCACAGGGAAGCGCACAACCGTCTGTAACTCCAGTTCCTGTAGATATGACATCCTCACATAAACATACATACAGAAAAACATCAATTCACATAAAAACCAATCTTTTTTTTTTTTTTGATTTTCACAAGGTTTCTCTGTAGCTTTGGAGCCTGTTCTAGAACTCACTGTGTAGACCAGACTAGCCTCAAAATCACAGGGATCTGCCATCTCTGCCTCCCAAGTGCTGGGATTAAAGGCGTGTGCCACCACTGCTCAGTAAAATAAATCGTTTTTTAAAAGATTGTGCAAGATAAAGTTAGTAGCACAAATCTAAGAAATACTAGACTATTTAACGGAAAACAACACCTTCTACAAGTCAGACTATCTATGGGATGAGGAGGAAGTCTAGAACAAGGGCAGACATGACCAGAACATAAAACACATCTAAAATGAAAACACTGGCGCGCTTACATTGAGATTATTTGAAGGGGTGGGGGTGGGGCAAGATATTTTTGCTTATTGGTCTAGTGATAGGAATTGAACCCTGGATCTTGTGCACATGAGGCGAGTGCTCTACCTCGGAGCTATCCCTCCAGCCCCAGCAGCTAGAAATATAGGCCATATCTGAGGAGAAGGTTGAGAGCAGAAACTGGCATAGGGATGTTATCTAGGTATTTGAAAAGACCAGAAGAGAAGAAGAAAAAGAAGATGAGGAGGAGGCGGGGAGAGGAAGAAGACGAGGAAAAGAAAATGTCCACAAAGGCCGCACGGCACAACCCTGCTTGTTGGGGCTGGGGAGAAGCAAGTGGCAAAAGACATGCCGAGAATGTAGCACATGGTATAGAATGTGAATCTCGCCTTGATGGGGATGGAATAGATGTACCATCTGGAAATGCCCTGGAACTTGGAATCAAGAACATAACACAAGGAAAGGATTCATTATAACTAGAAATGCAGGAAGATGGCTAGTAGGTTCCAGGTCACCTCAAGAACCCTGGCCACAGAACACACTGGGAGGAAGGGATGGCTGCTTGGTACTTGGAGTATGAGATATCAGGCATCACCATATGGGTCTCTAGAGGCAATGAGAAGCCAGAAATACATCAGTCACCCAGCTTTAGTAGGAGAGGAGACTCTGGACGTCTAGCACCTGAGATGACAGACAGATGAGTTCATTAAGGCCATGGAAGAGGTGAAGTTGATCGAACAGTGAGGCCACAAAAACCTGAAGATGGGAGTGCGGTGGAGAGTCAGGTGGGGGTCCAGACCTTTGAGTCCATGTGGAGGTGAAGGACAGGGTGTTACAGACTTAGAGCCTGAATATTTGATGGGAGTGTAGGGCTGGGCAGGTGATCTGATGGACGGGACAGTTGTTATGGTCTGAGATTCTGAGTTTCTAGGATGTGCTTTTTTCTTTAAATGGGGGTTACAAGATGGGGCGAGACACCTAGATCTCCCAGAAGGAAGAAGGACAGAAGCAGAGGAGTTGCATTCCAGATTTCTGAAGAAAACTCATGGCGCCTGAGTCCCTAAGGCAGTAAGCAGGTGCCGGTGTACCAGGAGACTGGGCACATTTGTCTGACAAGGGGGAATGGGGGGAGGGTTGTTAAACTAGGTGCTAAGTGGAGGGGGGTGGGCAAAGCCTGGGAAACTGGATTCCCCAGGTGCTGAATAAGATGACGGCGATTACTCAGGGTCAGCAGATGTTGGGTACCAACAGCCCTTCAGAACCAGGTGGGAGCTGGAGGTTCCATGACAAGGTCTCTAAAGCGTCCTGGTCAGGGACATTCAAAAGCCCTGAAGTGAAGCAGCTAGAGTCCCGGAAAGCTAGGGTGCCTAAACATGAGAACCCTGCGGCCCAGCTAGGGGTGGTGGGGCGCCGGGGATCCCCAGGTCAAAGGCGCGGTTAGGGGGATCCCCACGCCGCCTGCACCCCCTTCTGGGCGGCTGTGGCAGGAGAAGGGGAGGCGAGGCTACCGAGAGAGCTGACCATGGACAGCTCCAGCGCCGGCCTGTTTCCAGGGCGAGCCGGCCTGGACGGAGGAACGCTGCAGCCAGAAGGTGGGGGGCGCGAATGGGGGAACGATTGGGAAGCAATAGAGGTAGCCGTACAGCGGTGGCCAGTGTCTGTAGCTCCCAGGACTGGGCCCAAAGGGGGGATATAGACTAAGGCTGAGCTGAAGGATCCAGGCTTCTGGGCCCTGGAGGAGGCTAAAAGAGGCAACCAGTCTGAGATACCAGGGTTCGACTGGGGACTCTGGGCTCCGGGAAGGGACACGCCTGGTTCTCCTGGGTTGGCTTGTGAAATCTGGACTCTGGGTTCCCTCGGGATGTAGATGGGAATGCAGGATTTCGAGCAAGTGAGTGGGGGAGGCTAACCCAGGGGTCCTCGGGGTGGGCGCTGCCGGCCAGGCTGGGCCGGGCTCTTACCTACCTGGTCCGCGGCGACTGCGGGAGGAGCTGGGCTGCAGTAGGGACGCGGGGTGGGGTAGGGGCACCGGGTGGGGCCCCTGGCGGCTGCCGGGGCCCGGATCTGGAGCTCTGGAGCCCTGTCTACGCCGCTAGCGCGGGCTCAGCGTCTCTTGCTCCGGCTTCGGCGCTGGGGACCCCCCTCCCCCTCACGGTCTCACAGCCTTCTTATTCCCTAAAATAGCCCCCTGCCCTTGTCACCGTACAGCCTCCCCCCCGCGAGGCCGCAGTCGCCAGATCCAGGGGTGCCCACCAGCGCCCCCCCAATCCCACCTTCTCCCCCCAAAAAAATTCTCCTCCCTCCCCCTCCCCCAACAGATCCCAGGCGGTCGTGGCCCCTTTAACAGAAGACTGACGGACGGCGCTGAGTGGCCAATGAGAATTAGCGTCCGCGCCGGCCGGTGACCAGGCCCCGCCTCTGCATCGAGAGGGAGGGGCCGCGCGGGCGGAGAGCTGGGGGCGGGACTCATGGTGCAGCGACCAATAAGTATGCAGCGTGCGGCGGCCTGGGATGGAGGCGGAGCCCGGCAGAGGATGATGTCACCTGAATCTTGTAGCGCGCGTGGAGCGCTAGTTGCGACCCCGTGTTCCCGCGGCAGCGCGCATCTCACGGGACAGGAGGGCTGGGTGGCGGGTTGGGTAACTCAACATTCAAGGTGGGAATCTTTTTTTTAAAGTCAAGGGCGGTTCCCGGAAGGATGTGCTCGGTTGGAAGGTGAGGCGAGTGGCCGACGGGTGGTGAGTGCCTGGTACTCCGCGCCCCTGCGCCCGTCTGGGGAATTGCACGCGCCCCGCCACCCCCGACTCCCTCTCAGACGGTGGCACGGCCCGCTGGGCTCCCCCAGCGGATGGTTCGCTCCGCCACGCCTACAGAGCCAGAGCTCCTGCTGCGTTTCAAGACTCCCGCGTCCGACCGGCGGCGGAAGACCCTACCAAGCCCACCTCTCCTTTTGAACCTCTAAAGTGTTGGGGACAGTGGTCTTCAGTGCTGCGCCCTGGCATTCATTTAGACGCAGCCTTGGGCCCGATTAGTCTCTGGGAAGCCGGCCAACCTCAGTCTTCAGTGCTGCTGGAGCAGAGTCGATCTCGCTACCCATACTGGAAAGAGCTTGGTTTTAACCTCAGCTTCACCCTCCTCCTCCACAGACACTATTCCAGGATGCGCGACAGACACACAAGACACTTGGTGAGGGTTAAAGATCTTTAAATAAGGTGCCAGTGACAATAAATAATACTGTACAGGGGAGGTGGAGGGTCCTGCTCTGTGATTTCAGCCTCGGGACTCCAAAGACCTGCAAAGATGTGGAGAGGGGAAGTTTAGGCACAGGAGATTCAGTGGGGCATGAGATGTTTAAGGGTGAGGAGGTTCTGGAAACAACGGTTCAGAAAAGCAGACCCAGGGATTCTAAGATTAGGAATCCCAGGAGTCCCAGGGCCTTGGCTACCATGGTAGGGGTAAAGGGTCAGGAAGCCCCTGTGAAGAGCCAGGCATAAAGGACGAAGGACACTAGGATCACTGGCCTGGCTTGGGAATCTGGGGCTGGGGACGGCAGCAGGGGGAGAGTGGGCGCGAGGCTCACGTGTAGCTGTGGTGCTGCTGGCGCCGCCGGGCAGATCGCATCTTCTCAAAGCGGGCCTCCATCTCCTCCAGCACCCGCGGGGTGTATCGCACCACCAGTTTCACTGAGCCCTGGGCGGCCTTCAGGAGTTCCACAGCTTTTTCATGGTGTTCGCCCTCCACACTCTGCAGGGCAGGCCTCGCACAGACTGCTGACCCAAACCGCTGCCCTTACCACCCTACCCGGGACATGGGACCAGTGGATAGTGAGATAGTGAGAAGGCTGCTAGGGTCAAGTCTCCAGGGCCTCATCCCCCTCCCCAGTGGATTACCAACTTGAGATTCAGTATCTGCACCCTAAAACCTGTCATGTCAGTACAGCTTAGAGTCCTAGTCAATGAAGCAGGTCACGGAACCTGTTCTTGTCCTCCCAGAGTCCTGGAGAGGCCTCGACACTCCCTAAGCCTACTGCTCTTCTGTTCTCACAGCCCAGGAACAAAAGCCCAGCTTTTCTGGCCAGTCTACCTCCTCCGTGGTGCGTTCTTGGATTCTAACTACTGGGGTTCAGGATGTTGGGTGGCCTAGACTTCTATCAGAGCCAACCTTTTTCCTCAGGTCAGGGGAGTGCAATTACCGACCCTATCCATTCTCAGCCAGAACCACCCTCCACCTCTGAGTCCTGAGAATTACCCATCCTTCAGCATCCAATCCAAAAGTTCCTCCTATAAAACCTTCCATCCTCTACACTGAACTGGTTCCCTAGCGTGCTCCCGCAAGTCCTTGAGAGCCAGCAGTGCACCCCTTAAGGTGTCTACAAAGGCTGTGCTCCCTGTGTGGAAGGGAAAACCATCCAGTGCTTCCGTACAGACACCTCGCGGCCCCACTCACCACACCATTCACGGACAGCAGCTGGTCTCCCCTCTTGAGGCCACCATGGCGATCAGCCACGCCTCCAGGGATGACTCGAGAAATGTAGATGGGTGAGTTCTGCTCTTTGCCGCCCATGATATTGAAGCCCAAACCCTCATCAGTCTTCGGTAGTTCCACAACCCTGGGATGTGCATGGCCCTCACTGGCTGTGAAGGCAGCCACTGTGGCCTGGAAGAGAGAAGGTGCCTTGATGTGAGAGACCCTGGCCCGCTTGAGAAAAGGGCACTCCAGCCAGGGTTCAAAGGTCAAGCAGGGGACTCCTGCCAGGGCTCAACAGTAGGCCACCTTGTGGTGACTAAAACCTGTGAGAACAGTAGCATTCTTCCACAAGTCAGGTATGTCCTCAGTACTTCGCACCTGCCAATCTTGTTTTCAGACAAACTAGCCCCCACCCTGGGGGTCAGGTGAGGACAGGACTGAGTCTGCTGGCAGTAACAAGAAGAGTGGGGCACTGCAGTTTGGATAGATGTCCCTGTTCACATATCCAGCTAGATATCCAGCTGGATCGTCTTTTAGGGTTATCTTTACGGCAGAAAAGTGAGGTCAGTTTCCTCGCCTGTTGCTAAAGAGAATCTCATGTGCATTCAAGTTAAAAATGTGCAGTTATTTAAAGGGCATTATAAATAAATCTTCATAGGGTAGAGGAGATGCGTACATGAGAAGGAAGGCGTAGGAACGGCCAGCTTTGGGAGGGCACTGTGCCTTTCGTGGTCACCCAGAGCTGCAGGGACAGGCGCCTACCTTGGCTGTGGCGTGAGCCCGCACCTCAGCGCTGCCAGTGATATCCAGCGTGTCATAGAGCTGCTCGTACACCTGGGGGGGAGGGACGCGACAGCATCAGGGAGATGCCAGTTCACAGCCCTGGACACGATTGTCTGTGTTCACTTGCCCGTCATGGGCCCCGCCGACCAGCGCTAGCAAACTACAACTCACACAGTTCCAAGGTGCTCACCTCGCGGATGGCAGAACAGAAACGGCTCTGCAGGACCCGCTGCAGGGCCTGCAGCTTCTGCGGGGGCAGCTCTCCGCTGCGTTGCAGCCGCTCCAGCAGCTCCACAGCCCGGGACACGTCTGCAAAACGCGGACGCGGTAAGGACCCGAAGGCAGCAGGAAGGGCGACCGAGGTCAGGCTGGAAGCGATCGACGCGTTCCGCCGGTCCCCTGGACCCCAACCCTAGGCGGGGTGTTGTTGGTGCGCTCCGCCCCAGACCCTCCCACGCCCGCAGGCCGCGCCCCGCCCACCCTAACTACGCCTGTCCCCGGCATCTGACTGGCGCGGCCCACTGAGCTTAGAAGCCAGACTGGACCCCCGAGCGCTTACCCCGCTCCAGTCCCAGCGGCTCCACCAGTGCAGCCATATCGCGGCCAACGCAAGCCACCCGCTCGGGCGACAGCGAGGAGGAGGTGCTGCACGAGGCCCCGCCCACCAGGTGCCGGCAAGGAGGCGCAGCCCGAGGCCCCGCCCACACGGCTACCAACAGTTTGAGCCTCTGCCCTCACCACTGACGTTGAGGCGGTGCTCACAGGGGCCCCTCCTACTTGGGGGACTTGCGAGACCTTAGTCCTCCGCGTGCCTAGCTCCCCATGCCACTACATCACTACCAGATGATTGCATGGGTTGTTCTGGTTATTTTCCTGTTACGATGTTGGTGTGTTGCTTTGCTCCTTAGGGCATATCTGTGCCCTTTCGGTAGTTTCCCCTCATTTCCACACTGACACGTTCAGGGGGCGTGGTTTCTCAGGATTCCAGGGCTACAGGGACTGCAGCTTTCCTGGAGCCTAGGAAAGAGGATCACTGTGACTAGGAAGCCTGAGATACACACCAAGAGCCTGTATCCAGAAACCAGAATAATGAAATCTGAAGTAGAAGATGTAACTCAGTCAGTAGAGTGCTAGCCTAGCATGCTCAAGACTCTGGGTCACATACCCAGGAGTGCCTAAGTCACGGGTGGTAATGCACGCCTGTAATCCCAACACTCAGAAGCGGAGGCAGGAAGATGAGAATACTATGCAAGGTCACCTTCGGTTACACACACACACAGCGCACAGAGCTCGGTGGCGCACACCTTTAATCTCAGCACTCTGGAGGCAGAGGCTGTAAGGCGGGCCTCGTGTATATAACGAGTTCCAGAGCTGCCAGGAATACACGAGACCCTGTCTACACAGAGAGGGAGAGACTGAGACACGGAAACAGACCTGAGCAGGAACCTTCACAGCTCACAGAGACTTTTGGAAGAGAAAGTCAAGGAGCCATCAGGCCTAGGTCACCCAGAGCACCCAAGAGGTTGGGAAGTCACGATGATGACACGAGAGGTCTTGTATTGTCGTTTGCATGTTGGATTTGTATTTTCATATAAATCCCTAAAAGTGACATAGGATGGTCAAGTGTGTAACTGAAGATCTCTGGGGGCACCCAAGAAGTCTAGATTGCAGAAGGGGCAGGAGGAAGGATGCTGAGGCCTGGAGACTGGTAGACTAATGTGCAGACTACCATTTGTTCAATGGTGGCTGTGTGGAGCGCATGCAGATCTTTTCAATTTGAGAAGACTGTGCTTGGGCTGGGAATGCAGCTCAGCTGACAGAGTACTTACCTAGCAAGCAGAAGGCCCTGAGGCCCTGGGTTCAGGCTCCAGTATTGCAAACCCCAGTGTGATGGTGCACTTCTGGAATCCCAGCCTGTGGAGGCAGGAAGATCATAAATTGGCCAGCTTAGACTACAGATGTCTGTGATGTCTGAAAGGGGCCTGGGACCTGGAGGTCAGAGGTGCTGCTGGCTGTCTCAGCAGTCTCCGTACAGGTGTGAAGGGGAGAGGAGTGCCGGAACAAGGAAAGAATGGGGGAGGCAGAAGAACAGCTGTTTTAAAGAGGGGTAGTCATTGATATGGAATGTTGCTGATGGCTGTTGGCTGTGATTCTGGCTTAGCTAGGTAGGGATATGGAGTCAGAAAACGGTGTGTTTAAGGGCAGAGTCTCTCCACCACAGCCCTCACAGTAGCAGTGCCAATAACAAGACGTCACTGAGCCTTCCCTAACTACCCATTTCATCAGAGAGCCAAAGATGGCCTTGGTCTCCTACCTCAGCCTTCCAAGATTTAAGGTTTCAGCTACCATGCTTGGCTTCAAAGGCAGCAACCTGAACCAACCAACCAGGTACCTACTTCAGCTTTTATGGAGCTTAGCTTCTGCCTTCCTGTCTTTAGCTGAGGGACAGAGTATTGTTCTTAACCTTTGGAGCCACTTAGAGTAGCAGGGACTAGCAAAAAACTGGACAGCCACCCCATGGCTAAGGAAGTGATCGTTAATGATAGGTTCCACTCTCAACAATGAAATGAACACATTAAGGATGTATCAGGACACCTCGCAGGGCAGACTAGGGCCAAGACAATGATGAGTTTATCATGGGCTAGATGACACCTTGGCCAGGACTGCTTGTCCGTCCTCCTAATGTGCTGTGAAGAAATTCCTGTTTTCATGAGGTTACTGAGCCTAGCTTGTTGGGGCTGGTAGTGCTGGGGCTTTTGCCTTAAAATCTCTGGTAATGGGGATAGAGGGTGAGTTCTTGCTAAGGACCCTAGTAAGTTCCCAGTTGGTGACTCCAAATCCAGGGCATCTGACATCTCTGGTCTCTCAAGGAACCTGCAACTATGTGCACATACTCATACAGACACAAAAGAACACTCATAATTCTTTTTTAAAACTCTCAACAATGGAGTTAGGGATGTAGCTCAGTTGGTAAAGCCTGCCAAGTATGCACAAAGCTCTGGGAGGATTCCATCCCCAGTACCCCATAAACTGGTCTGGCAGCACACATCTGTGACCTCAGTACTTGGGAGGTATAGGCCAACCTATATTAAGTTCCAAACCAAGAAGTATGAGACCTCTCAAAAAAGGGTGGGGTGTAAACAATACAAGAGCCCTGTGGTCCCTCTAGAAGCCCACAGATACTGCAAGTTCTTCCTGTATCAAACACCACTGCTGCTTCTTGTGAACTTAAAAAGAAAATTTACACTGAGCATTGGTGGTGCACACCTTTAATCCCAGCACTAGGGAGGCAGAGACAGGCAGATCTCTGTGAGTTCAAGGCCAGCCTGGTCCACAGAGCAAATTCCAGGACAGGCTCCAAAGCTACAGAGAAATCCTGTCTCCAAAAACAAAACAAAAAATTTACTTTATGACTTTTTGTATATGGCCCAGCACAGCACACATGGAGGTCAGTGCCCTCTTGTGAATGCTTAGATTTTCACAGCTTTTGGTTTAATCCATGTCTGCCTGTGACATCCTTAGTGTGGGGCTCAAGCTATGCTCTGAGATGCTATTTCAAGAGGTCCTTGCTTGTTGGTGCCGTTTACAAAATTCCATTCTTTACCCTACATTCTCAACTTCTTTCCAAGCCCTGAAACACAAGAATTGTATTTACTATTTTTTTTTTTAAGGCAGTGACTTGCTTGCCCCGGTTGACTTTAAATTCATGATCTTCTCATAGCACAACTGGCTATGTATAGTGTTCTGCCTGCATGTATGCCTTCACCCCTGAAGAGGGTACCAGATCTCATTATAGATGGTTGTGAACCCTCTGAGCCATCTCTCTAGCCCCTTAATTTTCTTTTTTATAATTCCCAAAGTTGGAAATTTCAGTCTTCTGGCCAGTCTGAGTCAACTTCTCTAAGAACTGCCATCTACTTCCATTTGTACTGATTTGTCTTTTTTTTCTCCCCCAAACAGGGTTTCTCTGTAGCTTTGGAGCCTGTCCTGAAACTCACTCTGTAGACCAGACTGGCCTCAAACTCAGAGATCTGCCTGCCCTTGCCTCCCAAGTGCTAGAATTAAAGGCATGTGCCACCAACTGCCAGTCTTGAACTGATTTTCTTGAATCCTTCATTCATTCACTTATGTCAACTCCGAAGCCAAGAGGAGTTTTGATTAAATTTGTCCAATTCCATCTTTTCAGAATTTCTGGGGTTCATGACAAGAAATTTGGGTGTTTTGGTATCTAAACTAATTCCTAAATCCATCTACTAAATTATCCCCCCCACACACACACACACCAAAGATGGGTAATTTTCTGTGTACATGTGGCTGTTTTGGAACTCAGTAGAGAGACTGGGCTGGCATCTGATCTGTCTGCATCTGCCACCACGCCCAGCTCACCTACTAAACCACAAACCTCAGAGTTGAGTGTGCTGGTACATGACATTACTCCCAGTACTCAAGAGGTGGAAGGAGGCAGGTAGATTTCTGTGAGGCTAGCCTGGTCTAACTGGTCTAATCTAGTGAGTTCCAGGACAGCAAGGGCTACAGAGACTGCTATAGAAACGAAAACAATTTAAACTGTCAAACTCAGATTTGCTAATTCTTTACTTTCTGCTTTCGCTTCAGTGGCCCTGCACCTTCTACCTACCCTTCTTGTTATCCCACAAGTCCTCTTCCCGACAAGCCTATGAAATTCCAAGTGGCTGCTGAATACTGTGGTTCAAATCCTTGATTTTGTATTCCTATCCTGGTCCATCTCCTAGTGGCCACCCTGCCACGGCGTGTGGTAGGAGGCACTCCACCAGAGCAGCATGGTTGCTGAAATCTCACCATGCCTCCACATGAAGAGATTCCAGGGCTCTCAGGAGCTCACCGAGCAGCTCAGGGGAGGACACAGGCCTCATAGGAAACCTATAGGAGTTTCACATTTCTACAATCTTTTCAAGGCTGTGAATACAGTGGTTATTTCCCACCAGTAATGATAAACACCCATTTTGAAGGCAAATCCATGATCATCCACAAAATACAATACATTGACAGCTGGGAGATGGGACAAATTGTTGGTGCCCCCAAAATAGGGATGTCAGTACCTTCTCAACAACTGCACAGAATCTTTTGGGGAGCTCTTCCCAATGAATCTGTTCACCAAGCAGAGCTTGGTCATTGGTCTGTCAGTCCCCAGTTGTGTTTCCCATCTCCCCAGAAAAATAACCATACATTTGGCATACACAACTTGAGGATAGATTCATGTCCATTCACCACTTCAGAGGTCTCGGGGCATAGTCACTCAGCCGCGCACACTTGGCAGGAGCCTGAGGCAGGTGTTCCCATCTCATGAGCAGGAAACAGAGCACAGCACATTCCCAAGAACTTATTTCCTCTAACCGGGTCCTTCCTCTTAAAACCCACAGCCACCCCAACAGTTGGAGACAAAAATCCCATGTGAAGGCCATATTATACTCAAGCCGTATCAATTCCTTAAGATAGAACTGATGTCCCCACTGGTCATCCTCCAATGCCTTTCACAAGTTTCTGCTGCCGTAAGCATTCTACAGTGAGACACTCTTAGTCAAACACGGGGGAGATCCACAGACATGAGTGTCAAGTTTCCCGTTAGGGCAGTTATCTGTGGTACTCTTGGTTTTATGTAGACTGGAGTCTGTCAGTCAGATCTAAATGGCTGCCTGTAGCCTTTCTTCAGGACCACGCCAGGCTACCCACTGCTTCCTCAGGGATCACCAGACTCAAAGCTCTCCCTCCTTTGTCTTCCACCCAGGAATGTATGCACACTTCAACTGCTGATGGCTATCTCATTAGCACACTTTATGACCGGACATGCTTCCTACCCACAGGTCTGTGCCATCCTGGCTGGCACCCTGCCTCTTTGCCTACTGCTCTCTCATTTGTTCCCTATCTAACCTGACAAGCAGCCCCAGCGACCTGAGCACAGCCGCTACTTCAGGTTGTAACATGTGCACTACAATTAGTGCACCAAGAGGGGCTGGACAATGTACAGTGACAACCTTCTGGGAAGAGAGCAAGTGCAGTAATACACCAGGTGCCCACTATCAATCACGAAATTAATTTTATTTTTAAATCCAAGGGATCAGAACAAAAAACAACAAAAAAACTTCTACCTCAGAGGACAAGCCATGGTGGAAAGGCTAGGAAGGCAGACAGCAAAACAGAAGCATGTCCACAACACAGGTAAAGCCTCTTCATTCGGGAGCTGCTTCCATCAGATATCCATTTTCTGGGGCCATGTACCCATCACCACCCTCTGCCTCCATGTACATGTCTCGACCATCACTACCTAGGCCTTCTAGCCCATTGTCCTGACCACTGCCACCCCCACCCCGAGCCTCATCCCTGCCCCGCTCACTGCCCCGCTCCCCCCGTTTGTGCTCTCGATCCCTATCACGGTCTCGGTCCCGGCGACGTTCTCTCTCACTTCGGTGGCTCCTACGTCGCTCCCGGTCTCGATCCCGGCCCTTCTCCTCTGGGCCATCAGGGCCATCAGGGCCAAGCTCTCCAGGAGGCCCATCATCAGGAGCTGCATCACCAGCTTCAGAGGGTTCAGCCATGTCGCCGCCACCACCACCACCACCTCGAAGCTCCTCTTTTCGCTCCCGCTCCCTGCGTGCTCGCTCTCGGCTACGACTACTCCGGCGCTTTCTGTCTCGGTCCTTGTCCTTGCTCCTCTCTCTGGATCGGCGCCTTTCATCCTTGTCTCGACTCCGGGATCGCCTCCTCCGGTCCCGAGAGCGGGAGCGTCTCCGTTCTCTCTCCTTGTCTCGCTCTCGGCTTCTTTCTCTGCGCTCCCGCTCACGGTCCCGATCCCGGTCCCTGTGTGGAAGTGGGGAGGGGCCCGGCCTAGATGAGGTTAGCAATGTGTGGCAGGGCACCCCCTTTACTGTCTTGTCCCAAGAAACCAGGTGCCCAATCTTACCTCTCATCATATCGGGAAGTG